AGTCCATACAAAAGGAACCGCAGAAGGATAAGGGAGGTGGTACTCACATCAGATGCAATGGATTTGTAGAGTCAGAAACTGTAAAGTGAAGTGAAGCGCTCACTATCTCATTATCAATGAGATGATAGAACAGTTTATCAGGAGGACATAATACCTGCACAGATGTGTGCATCTGGGACACCTGAACAGAGAAAGCAAATACTGACAGACCAGGAGGGAAGCCGGATAGCCGCGCAGCCTTCACGGGAAACAGCAGGGCTCCGCTTCAACAGAAGATCGACAAGGAAGCGTCGGGCGCAGACTGTCACTTAGGCCCCCACCGACCTGATGGGCACGTGGACAGCCTCACAGCAAATACATGCTCCTCGCAAGTATTCAGAGCACATTCTCTAGTATAGATCTTATGTGAAGCCACAAAACAAGTTCTTAAATTTAAAAAGATTGAAATCTATCAAGTGTCCTATCTGACCAGAAGGACGGTATATGAAACCAGAAATCCATGACAGGAGGAACTTTGGAAATTTCACAAATACATGAAAGTTAAATAACATGTGCCCAAATAATCAGTGGGGCAAAGAACCAATTTTTTAAACCTTGACACAAAAGGAAATGGAAACACAACATAACAACATGTATGGAATGCAGTAACGGCTGTGAGGGAAAAGGTGATTGTGATAAATGCCTACATCAAAGAAAAAAAGACCTCAAACAAAACAACCTACAAGTTACAACTCAAGGGGGGGGGAAATATGTGTGTGTGTGTGTGTGTGTGTGTGTGTGTGTGTGTGTGTTGGGGAGATAGCTTGGCAGTCTAAGCACCTGCCTGGCAAGCGAAAGGACCTGGGTTCAATCCCTGGTTATGCATGCTGCGCCGCCCCACTCCCAGGCATGCTGTGCTAGCCAGCAAAACTGGGCATGGTGGTGCACGCCTATAATCCCAGCTCTGGGGAGGCTGAGACAGGAGAATCACTACAAGACCAAGCTGCACAGCAAGACCCTGTACCCAATAACTAAATAAAAGATTTTTTTTAAAAAGATTTAAACTATATATTTAAAAAGAATAAACTAAGCCCAAAAAACTAAAATTGGTAAAGCTTGGCTATGGAAAGAGAGAGCGAGAGGGGCGGGGGGAGAGAGAGAGAGAGAGAGAGAGAATCAGAAATGAAAGCTCAGATGTACAAATCATTCCACAGAGGTGCAAAGACAGAAGCGAAAGACACTTTTATGAACAAGTGGGCAAATTCTCCTAGAATTTATAACAAACCATACTGCATTCGGAAGAAACAAAATCTGAACAAAGCAGTAATAAGTGGATCAATCAGGAGTAAAAACTCTCCAGAAAAAAAAAAAAAAAAGCCCAGGACCAAATAACTTCACATCTAAATTCTGCCAAATGCTAATAAAGAATAAACACCAACTCTTGCCTAACTCTTCCAGAACACTGAGTCGGGGGAAACACTTCCAATCTCATTCAGTGAGGCCAGTGTTACCCTGATGCCGAGCCCAGCCCATTTTACAAGACATTATGCGACTACTGACCGGTATCCATGATCAACACCGATGCAAAGGTTCACAAGCAAATGCTCACTTCATCAGCGCACTGGAAGGAATGCTCACCGTGCTCACGTGAAATTTTTTTCCTCTGATGTGCAAACTGACGACTATGATGCACCGCAAGGACAGAGTCGAGGGCCTCGCAGTCGTGTAATCGGGCCCTGGATGCAGCAAAGGCATTGGCTCTATTCACCGTCCTTACATAGTAAAAGCTCCTGACAGTCCAGGCGTGAAGGGAATGCACAATAGCTCATCGTAAGGGCCACTGGTGACAAGCTCACAGCTACCTTCGCACTCAACAGTGACAAGTGAAAGCCTTCTGTCCTAGATCGGGAACAAGGTGGAGAATGCCCACTCCCACTTCTTCTAGCCCCCAGATAAGTGAGCATCCCCACCAGAGAAACTGGGCAAGAAGAAGATATGAAAAGCAACTGAATTCGGAAGGATGAACTCAGATGGTCTCTGTTGAGAGATGACATAATCTTCTTTTTGGAGGGCAGGGAGGCTCAGCCCACCCTGGGGCGGGACTAGCGCAGCACGTGGCTCCGGGGATGGAACCGCGGTTCCTGTGTACTTACCTAAGCTTGCCTAAGCAGGGATGTCGGACTGCTGAGCTATCTCACCGGTCAACAGAATCTTGCATATAGCATCCCAGGCAGTCTCCCATCCAAGCACTCACCAGGCCTGATTCTGCAAAGCTGGAGACAACCACTTCACCTGATCCCAAAATCTACCAAGCCATCTGAAAATCTAGTGATCCACCTGTTTACAGCCTCCCAAGAGCTGGGATTACAGGCATGCACCACCCCGCCCAGTCTCAATTGTCATCTCAGCGCCCCCAAGGTGGGCCCGCATGGCAGGCCCAGGGTTCACAGGCCCGGGGATTGAACCCCTGGCCCCTGTGCCTGCTTGCAGGTGCCTTAATCCACTGAGCTATTTGGCCAGCCCATAAACATTTCATTTTTTAAAAAACTCTTAAAACTAATAAATGAATATAATAAAGTTGTAGGATTTTAAAAAATCAACATATAAAACTCACTTTCATTTCTGCTCACTACTCATGAAATTACCTGAAAAAAAATCAAGAAAACCCTTTTTATGGACCAGCCAGATAGCTCAGTGGACTGAAACACCTACTTTGGCAGGCGTAGGGACCGTGGTTCGATTCCCTGCATGCTGTGCTGGCTCCGTCCCTGGGGTACGCTGAGATGGCAATTGAGACTGAGTGTGGTGGTGCACGCCTGTAATCCCAGCACTTGGGAGGATGAACACAGGAGGATCACTACGAGTCTGATCTGTGTAGTGAGACCCTGTAGATCCTGTACTAAAATACATTTAAAAAATAAAAATAATTTTTAAAAAAAGAAAACCCTTTTTACAACAGCATAGAAAACACTTTAGGATAACTTTAATCAAAAATGATAGATCTTTACACTGAGAACTAAAACGCCTGTGAAAGACACTGAAGAAGACAAAAATAAATGGAAAGACACCATGTACTCACAGATCAGAAGGGCTGACATGGTTCACCTATTCACACTACCTAAAGTGATCTAGGGACTCCACGAAACCCCTATAAAACTTGCAACACAATTTTTCACAGAAATAGAGAGGGCAACCCTAAAATTTATAGGCAACCACAAAGTTGATGAATAGTGAGAAGAAAAAGAAAAAGCTGGAGACAACCACTTCACCTAATCTCAAAATCTACAAAGCCACAGTAAGCAAAGCAACAAGGAGCACAGCGCTGAGCCCAGAAACCTGAAAATAAGCAGTACAGACATAAGCCCATGCAATGCAGTCGCTTTACAAGGTGCCAAGAACACATAGGAAAGGGAAGTCTCTTTGATAAATAATGTGGGGCAAACTGGTTATCCACATGTGGAAGAATGAAATTAGACCCCATATGCAAAAATCAACTCTAAATGGATTAAACACTTACACATGAGACATAAAATTGTAAAGCTACTAGAAGAAAACATTCTGGAAAATCTTCTTGACTTTGATATAGACCAAGATTTTTTTTTAATATCCCCAAAACACAGGCAACAAAAACACAAAGAGATAAACGGAACGGTGGGACGCTCAAAATCCTCCTCCCAGCAAAAGAAGCAATTAACAGACTGAAAAAATAACACACATGTTGGGAGAAAACGTTGTGAACCATAGATCTGACACAGGTCTCAACATCTAAGAGCTCAAACAAGTCAATTCCAGGAAAAAAATATAACCTGGTTCAAAAGATTCAAAAGAAGACATACAGATGGCCAAAAGGTATCTGAAAAAAGCGCTCAAGCTCGCCAGGAAAACGATGATGTGTTGGTCAAAAGATCCAAAATTTCAAGTAGGAGAAATAAGCTCAGGAATTCCATTACACAATTAGGTGACTACAGCTAATGACAACGCATTTTACACTTGAAAATTGCTAAGGGGATAGGTTTTAAATACTCATACCACAAAAACATAAGTAGTAGGGCAATGACTGTGTTAATTACCTCGATTTAGACATTCCACAATGTGTACATCACGTTCTATATTATAAATATACATATAGTATTTTTATTCGTCAATGTAAAAATTGCTCGTGATGGTCAGGGTTTCCAATAAAGATGTGCGAATTCACTCCCACTGAACAGTTAGCTTGCTCTTGACGTTTACCTGAGTTAAGTAAAGCCACACGACATAAAAACATGAAATACTTCTCTCCTCATTTATTTCAAATTCTGCAGGGTCGGGAAGTAAGTTAATGGCCCCTCAAATGCCCACAAAATCTGCCAGAAATTTGGGGGGGTGTGCCTCATTACCAAGGCGGCTGTGGGAACAGAACTGCCACCTGCCATCAGTGTCCAAAATCTGTGCTGCACTAGCTGACGTGCAGGTGAACTGTGCAGGGGGCACAGGCAGAGGAAGTTACAGCAAACAAGTAAGAAGCCTGGCAACCCTAGGACGGGGCTGGGAAGACCAGGAGTTCTGTCCCCGTGGATCTGCCAAGCATTGTGACAGTAAAAGCGGAGAATCTCAGAACCTTCCAAGTCTGCCTGGACGTGGTGGCCCAGATTGGTGATGCTGGATGTTGGCTCTGCAGAGGAAGGGTGGGCCTTATCTTCTCAGGGTGGACACGAAGGGTGACTCACCAGCAAATTTACCAGGTAATGATGAACCTGCCACCGCTCCACCCAAACCCATTTCTCAGATAACCACCAACCTGAGGGCAACTGTCCTCCTACAGAAATGAGCCTAGCAAAGTTAGTTATTAATTAGGAAAAATCATCCAATTATGCCAACTTGCTGAGACCAGCAAGCCACGTTTTACTCGATGTAGGCAGAATTCCACCCCAAGCACCCTCGGGAGCACTCTATAAAGAGGCAGACACAACAGGCGAGGAGAGAAGGCCCTGTGCCCTGGCTTGACGTGCTGCTCCCAGCCTCGCTTGTCTACCCTGATCATGTCTCTTCGGCTGTCCAGCGGATCCAGGAGGTCCGGTGCCCGTCCTAGCACTGGGTCCCTGAGGCTCTCCAGCGGGGGAGCCAGCTTTGGGGCTGGCAATGCCTGCGGCATCCCTGGCATCGGCAGCGGCTTCTCCTGCGCCTTTGGGAGCAGCTCATCGGTAGGAAATGTGGGCACCGGCAGCACCTGTGCCGGCTTCACAGTGAATGAGGGTGGCCTCCTGTCCGGCAATGAGAAGGTGACCATGCAGAACCTCAACGACCGCCTGGCCTCCTACCTGGACAACGTGCGTGCCCTGGAGGAGGCCAACGCTGACCTGGAGCAGAAGATCAAAGGGTGGTACGAGAAATTCGGGCCTGGCTCTTGCCGGGGCCTGGACCACGACTACAGTCGCTATTTCCCTATAATCGAGGATCTCAAAAACCAGGTAAGAAGTTGCATTTTCCAGTCCCAGTTGTCGGTGCAGCTGTATGTCTAGGCTCCTTTGCACCAGATTTGGAGGAACACCAATCTTCCTCTGTCTGATCTCTTAGAGGGAACTTCAATATAGCGCTGGAATGGCACTAGTAGCTCCTCCGGTTACACCAAATGATGAGATTGTCACTGACCATACGACTCCGCTAACTTCCCCACTCCCTAATCTTATAGAATATGTTCTGCTCTCGCTCGCTGTGAGCAGCCACCTTAGAGTCGCGCTCTCCTTTCCAGATCATTGCCTCCACCACCAGCAATGCCAATGCCGTGCTGCAGATCGACAACGCCAGGCTGACCGCTGATGACTTCCGGCTCAAGTAAGTCGACCAGAGCAACAACAACTCACAGCACTTCATGCACAGAACTCGATCAGATTCTCTTCTTAGTCCTCCACTATGTTGCCAACTCTTACTCCCCAAAGCGCCAAAGCACTTGGCTTTAAAAATTATGATGGTGAGGCACCATAAACTCTGAAGGGGTCTCTGGTGGCCGAATTGGCCGCTTCTCCATTCCAGAGTCCGAGCACTTATGATTGACTGGAGGCTGTGTCCCACCAGGTAACAACTGGAGAATCTTGAACATCTTTTCAGGTACGAAAACGAGCTGGCCCTGCACCAGAGCGTGGAGGCTGATGTCAACGGCCTGCGCCGGGTTTTGGATGAAATCACCCTGTGCAGAACAGACCTGGAGATTCAGTACGAGACCCTGAGCGAGGAGATGACCTACCTGAAGAAGAACCACAAGGAGGTAAGAGCGGGCCAGCCGCCTGCCTTTCCTACCCTCTGCATACACCCTGGACCGCACACCAGGGCGCAACGGACCTGCCCTGGTAAGACCCGCGCTAGACAGGCCAGCGAGGCCGAGCGGCCCCTCGGTGCTGAGCCACTTGCCTAGATCTACCTTGTGTCACGTCTTGTTTCCCATGGGAAAGAACAAGGACTCACGATCTGTAGCCCAATCAGGGTTGTAACATCAGTGTTTCACTGTGTAATTAGAGCTATGTGAAAATTATCCGCTGGAGATTATGCTTAATTAGGTACAATGCCTCTACCTGAAGGACTTCCTGAGCAACCTGGATTTAAATCTCTCTGTAAGTGTGGCAGACTTCAAACAAGGAGTCACCAGCTTCCCATGTACGTTGAGCATATATACTTACCGCTATGACATACTCTTCACAGGTGTGGCTATCAAAATTAACCTGCAATTAACCTGTTACCCCAGAATTGACACTTCCAGCCACACAGTATACTTCCAGAAAGGGGTCGCTTTAGGATTTATTTTGGGGGGGCAAGGGGGCCAATTGTTATCAAGAGCTCATGACATAACACGTATTAATTCCTTCTGTGTGTCCCTTCTCCCTGCCTTTCCCTCACTCCTGCAGCCATCCCGTGGCTCCCTTCCTTGCCTTCCTTCTTTCTTTTCCTTTTCCTGGTCCACATCTGCAGGCCCAGCGAGTCCCCTCCCCGTGTGGAGTGGGGCTGTGTGCGTGGCACATCCAACTCCTCGTCCCCCATCTTCCCCCTTCCCTGCCCCCATCCTCCCCCTTCCCTGCCCCCATCCTCCCCCTTCCCTGCCCCCATCCTCCCCCTTCCCTGCCCCCATCCTCCCCCTTCCCTGCCCCCATCCTCCCCCTTCCCTGCCCCCATCCTCCCCCTTCCCTGCCCCCATCCTCCCCCTTCCCTGCCCCCATCCTCCCCCTTCCCTGCCACCTTTCCCTTTGTGTCTCTCTTCCCTCCCCCTTTGAAAGCAGTCTTTCTCCCTACTTCTAAGGACAATGCTTATCTTTTCAAAATGGGTCCCTTTTGGAAGCTAGATTCAAAGTCAGATTGTGCGGCAATTTTATCTTTGGGGGTTTTTTTAGAGCCACTTTTTCTAAAACTCTTTACCCCTTGAAAACTGAATTTGGTATTTTTTCTAACAATCAAAAACTTCCATAGTCAATCCAAATGTGTGTGTGTGTGTGTGTGTGTATGTATACATATGCATGTCTGTATGTCTGTCTGTATGTATATATGCCTGTGTGCTTGTGTTTGCACTCCACGGTAGCTACATATTTTCAATGAATCAGAAGCCACTGACTTTTATAATCAATGGCTTCTAATTCATCCAGAAGTTGTTGAGTAGCTGCAATGGATTCTATACCCTCTGGGGCAAGCTCACACCCAGGCAGAAGAGGCAGAGACCATCCAGGAAGAATGGGCGGCACAGCAGCCCGAGGACCTTCCAGAGAGGAGGACAGAAGCCTCTGGAACATGCCCCCATTGGCCCCAGGCTGTCTGCAGTGGGCGTGCGCCAGGCTGTGTCGTTTCTGCTCACACAGACTTGGAGGTGAAGCCCGCCCTTTGCAGGCTCAGAGGCGATGCAGAGCCCAGGTGGAGCCACCTATCGATTTTGACTATAAGACAGATTCTGCTTCTTTGATGACAGCAATCTTTTGTGGGGCCGTGTGTGTGTGTGTGTGTGTGTGTGCGTGTGTGCGCGTGGTACCAGGAATTGAGCCAAGGGCCTTGGCTGTAAGCTCCACCTCCAGTCCCTTTAAATGTTTTTTATTATTTTGAGACAGAGTCTCGCAAAGTGGCTGAATATGCCAGAACTAGGCTTGAGCTTGTGATCCTCCTGCCTCTGCCAGTAATCAGCATTTTTTTTAAAGCATTTATAATGTCGGGCAGTATAACTAAGCTTTATTACTATTAGTCCTTTCGCTTCTTTTATCACAACCCAAAGAAGAGTTGGGTGTTTTTTTTTTTCAAAGAAGAATTTTTAATTAGCTTCAAATTTTAGACAAGCGTGCCAAAAGGTAGATAGGTCCGTCTGCCTTCCCAAGCCCACACAGCCACGGTGCGGCAGGCGGAACTCACAGACACGTCCAACTGCGTGTCCAGCAGAACGCTGGGCCACCCGCCTGGTGGCTCCACAGACCACTGGGTTCTGTCTTTCCTGTGGTGTGCACACACTTGTCCACGTTTTTGTGTATTTGCAGTCATTCCGGTTGTCCAGAATTACTCCAACTCAGCCTTTTGGCTACATTCAGGGCACTGGTGCTCACACACCGAAACTGGTCTCCCCTGGAAGGAGGGCTGCCCCCAAGAATGGTGACAGATGCAAGTAGAGTGTGAGGGGGAGGGCAATTTGTCCTAAGGACTTTGCATTAGGAGAAGGATTTCAGACTTGTCCTGGGAAGCATAGGTACGTGGATGAGCTGGGGTCGCAGGAGCCAGGGCTTGGCTGTAGAAACAAGGCAGAGTTTTCATGAGTGGGCTGCTACATAAGTTGGTACCTTGGCATCCTTGACAGGCCAGGGGAAGGGACAGGAATGGAAGATGTGGACGGGGTGGGCGGCGCCTGCACAGCCTGGGAAGGGGCAACCAGATGGCCCCCAGGACTCCTCCAGAGCTAAGCTTCTGGCTCCAGGAGCTCCAGCAGGGCCACGCTCACCCTTTCTCTGCCCCTAGGAAATGCAAGTTCTGCAGTGCGCGGCGGGAGGCAACGTGAACGTGGAGATGAACGCGGCCCCTGGTGTGGACCTCACGGTGCTGCTGAACAACATGCGGTCCGAGTACGAGGCGCTGGCGGAGCAGAACCGCAGGGACGCCGAGGCCTGGTTCAACGAGAAGGTGACCCCTGCCCAGAAAACGTCCCCTGTGGCCATGTCTGATGCCCCTGACACTAACCTTTGCCATCTTGTTTGCCTTGTTTCAGAGCGCTTCCCTGCAGCAGCAGATCTCTGAGGACGTTGGGGCCACCACCTCCGCCCGCAACGAGCTGACGGAAATGAAGCGCACGCTGCAGACCCTGGAAATCGAACTGCAGTCTCTCCTGGCCACGGTACGCCAAGGACAGCAGTGGCCTGCCTGGGTTCCCGTCCAATAGGCGGGGGCTGGTTTAAAAGCCCCTGGCAGCATTGAAAAGCTGTCCATGCGCATCATTGCAACCGACCTACGACGTAAGCAAAAATCAGCACTTTCTGTTTAGTAGCTCAAACAACTGCTCCAAGGTCTTGGGGTCTGTTCTACCAAAAAAAAAAAAGGTATGCCCATTTAAAACAGTGCTGCAAGCCAGGTGTGGTGGCACACGGCCATAATCCCAGCACCTGGGAGGCTGCGGAGGAAGGATCGCTGTGAGTTTGACGCCAGCTTGGGCCACCAAGTGAGTTCAAGGGCAGTCTGAATTGAACAGCGAAACTGTCTCCAAAAGACTAATGATACCAGCAGAGCTGCACCACAGAGCCAGCTGCAACGTGTGCCCGCGTGAAAGCCGGAATAAGGACGGGCTGGGTCGGCGGGCACCAGAGGCGTTATCGCCCACCCTGTGCCTGACTCGGCTTCCCGGTGGTCCCCACAGAAACACTCCCTGGAGTGCTCGCTGAGCGAGACCGAGGGCAACTACTGCTCGCAGCTGGCCCAGATCCAGGCGCAGATCGGGGCCCTGGAGGAGCAGCTGCACCAGGTGCGGACGGAGACCGAGGGCCAGAAGCTGGAGTACGAGCAGCTGCTGGACATCAAGGTGCACCTGGAGAAGGAGATCGAGACCTACTGCCGCCTCATCGACGGAGACGACGGGTGAGTCGGGAAAGGCACACGCGTGGTGCTCCACGCAGGCGCCCTCTGTTCACACGCGCCACATCTTTAGGCTGCACGAACCGCTGGGGGAAAATACTCAAAACTGAGACATTGCATCTGTACCGAGCACATGCAAACACTTTTCCTGCCCTCACCTCCTACATAATCTGACTGTTTATACAGAGTTTTATTGTACTAGGTATTATAAGTAATCTAGAAAGGACGAGAAGAACATAGGGAGGTATCCATACATCATACACAACACTGATGCCATTTTATAGAAGGAACTAGAGCGTCATGGGGCTTGGGGGGTCTCTGGCGTCCTGGAACTTTAAGCTTAGATCCCTTAAAAAAAAAATTAGACCCCTGGAAACGAACATGAACTAAAAAGCTACATTTATTACCAGAAATGATAAATCTTAAATGTAATGCTCTACTACCAAGATATAAATTAACAACATTTAACAGAATAAAAATACAACAACAAAGGGCTGGGGAGATGGCTCAGTAGAATAAGCACTTTGCTCACAAGCGCAAGGGCCTGAGTTCAATCCCTGGCTCCGCAAAAAAAAAAAAAAAAGAAAAAGAAACTGTGTTTAAGGTATGAAGATTAAAATTCCACTTCTTAATGCTAACGCCGAGCAGGTCCAGCCATGTAATCTGCTGAACATACGCTCACCAAAGAACTAAAGAAAATCGAGCGGTGGGTCTGGAATCCAGAGGGTGGGTACTCACCTGCCCTCTGCGATGCTCAAAAGTGCCTCTGATGTTTTCACAGCGCTTGCAAGTCTGGAGGTTATAAATCTAAAGATTTTGGAGCCAGCATCATGGGAACCCAAATCAAAGGTAACTAAACGAAATTCTGCTGTTTCGCTGGACTTTGTTTCCAGCACACAGGCGGCAGCTCTTGCCATGCCATAGAAAGCCAGATATAATGAAGATTCGTGGCAGACAGCTGTGCGTGTCTAACTCTGCTGATGTATGCTGCTTGTACGCAACCAGTGACTGTAACTTTGCCTAATCAAATAGCCAAAAATCCCCAAACATGAGCCTAAGTGGATGTGCTTTCTGCAGTGTTCTTTGATGTGACCTCTTTTTCCACCTCTCCTTTGATTCTCTAAAATCTCCTTTCACATTTAATTTTTCAGATCCGATCAAAGCCATAGTGGTCAAGAAAGTTCTCGAGGAGGTCGACCAGCGCAGCAAGGTGCTGACCACCAGGCTGCAGTCCCTGGAAGATAAGCCACAAAGCAATTAGCGGAGGGCATGCGCCAGCGACCCTCGCGAAGAAGAGGCATGGGTGGGTTTGGGGAACGGAGCAAGTCTTAGCAGATCGTCTGTCCTGTTGTCTTTCTGTCCCTTTCACTTTCTGGGCAATCAATCCATTCAGCTGAAGAATGTCACTTACAAATACGGTGACCCAGTTGAACACTCCACAGAAATTTGTTGGTAATTCTTCCTACGCAATAAACCTTTTTCCTTTTGGCAAGTTATCACTGGTGATGTTATCTTACTTTAAAATGTTTATGAAGGGCTGGCCAAATAGCTCAGCAGATTAAAGCACCTGCAAACAGGCGCAGAAGCTGGGGGTTCAACCCTCAGGCCTGCCATGCCAGCCCCACCCCTGGGGAGCACTGAGACAGCAATGGAGACTAGGCTTAGTG